ACGCACCAGCATCTCTAATCAAAAGAAAGGCTATGCATGAATGCAAATTTTTGCACTACCCGTTTTGCCGTCCTGAGAAAAATCACAGGGGAATTCTAGATAGTCTTTTTCCGATTGAGCTGAGCTGGTTGCACACTCTTGCTCACTCTTCGAATGATGGTTAGGTAGATTTCAATTTTTTGTTAATCCAGGACACTGAGCAATTTCACCGTCCATTCCCCTGTCAGAATTCAGTCGGCGAGCGGTCACCGCACACTGGAACATCGCGTTGAAAAAATCCAAGTTGACCAAATCTTCCGTTATTGATTGAAACCAAAAGGAATTTTTACTACCAAGAATGAGAACTTAATTCGTTTGACGAAAAAGGACTCTCATTGGTTTAAATTACTCTCGATGTTGAGAGAACATAAGGGTCACTAAAAATTGTGAACATATTTGTAGGGCTACTTGACCACGTTTGGTAAAGTAACTCAGCCTTTTTTATTCTGTACAAACATGCACATCAAAACGTTTATGAATGTAAACTGTGGAATTTTGTAACTTCACAAATTAAAAACCTCTGAAATTAGGTTTAAGACTTTATTTATTTGAGCTCCTTACGTACGTGAAAACTGGCAAAATGCTATTGCAGCTGGAACTTGAAATCTTTGCTGATAATGTACATTTTGAGCTGAGAACCTTTGGGGAAAGATTTCTTTAGTGGTTGGCTACATTGGGGAGTACTACATTTGAGTTGCGATTTCAACAAACCGGAGCTTTTGCATCAGATACAGTGACCAATATACTTCATCAGCAATTGTACGGTGCTTCGTTAGCGGTTTTAGCCAAAAAGCAGGCCTTCTAAAAAGGAGTAAAAAACACATTTGCTCCGCTACTAAACGTATATTATGAATCAACGTCTTAAGGATCAAGAAGCAAAAGAACAATAGGGAAAACAGGTCATTATGATCTTTAACGCTTTATGCTGGTGCCTTGACACACTAGGGTAAAATCCACGTAGACAACCCTAAACAATGCCTTCTGACGTTTAATAAAAATTCTGCACTTTATCAGAATGAGATTGCTCGTTTCTATATAGCGGAAACAAATCGTCCTTCTAAATGACATTGAGCATCTAGAGGAGCTCGATGTGGTATTCCAAATATCCATGAAAAAGAAAAATATGGATACCAGCTAGAACTTGAAACGCATGATCCGAGTGTCCAAATTGCTAAAACACAAAGTAATAAAGGACGTTCCAACCTATGTCGTCGTCTAGTTTTTTCATTGACATACTGTACGGATCTCTTCAGGATTAGAAAAAAATAATAATTTATTTGCTGCTGCAACAAACTTTTTGTTATTAATAATAGCTGATGATTTGTGATTCGTTTTGCAAGATTGTTTTACAGTCAGCATAGATTATCATCAAAATACTTGTTTTGTTAATTGGCAACTACAAACTTTAGGCCCACAACGATCCAGTTTTAGCAGTCTCCATCAATCTAGCTAGCTAATACAAAAGGAGTTTCAACGAACCAACTTTCAATGTCCTCAGAGACACTGAGCAGTTCGTATTCTTAACGGCGCTGCAATATGACTTCTAAATAAATTTCATGTGAAATATTTCATTTCATATGCGGACGTGAATTTTTGGAGCATGAATCATATGAACACACTATTTCCGCTCCTCTTTACGCCATATGTGACCATCGCCGAAGGAGTTAAGGGTAACAGTCTATCTGTGAAAAATATACACGAAATCACAACAGAATCATGAACTGTAGCGCGGGGATAAATACTCCAAAAAGAAAATGAATCCAATCCGTGCCTGGTGCCTTGTAGGCACGACTGCCTTTATATCTAAATTTGGCTACAGAACCAATACATGGAGATAGGTGATAATAAATAAGTGGTAGATAAAGAAAATACAACTGCATATTGTTCTCATGCCATTGAAACATTGCAACGTAAAAGCAACCAGTGAAGTAAGGTGAAAACGCAAATCGAACGATCCATTATATGTTGGAAGCCATTGATTTGCCTCAGTCAGTCAGTCATTTCAGCAGTCAATTAATCAGTCCGCCATTGTGTTGATCAGGTAGACAGTCAATCAGTCAGTCATCTAAAGATTCAGTCAATTGTTCATTACGTCAGCAAAGCAGAAAATAGTTAGTAACATATGGGTTAGAACTATTACTAGCAAACCAAATAGTTTGCACGCTTTGGAGTGAAACATGAAATGCTTTTCAGAGGGTCTTAGTTCCCATTTATAGAGCAAACAATGAATCATCTTACATCCACCGTTATATGTTGATATAAATGCACTGGGAAGACTACCTTTTGGTTTCGATTCCTACGATAAAGGAAGAGGGTGCAATTGCTAAGTTGCAGACTTAGTTATTCTTCAGCAGCCGACCTCGTTCGTTGAATCTCCCATGTGTGCACGCCTTGCCTCACAAGGTGAAATTTTCATTGCCAAAACCTCCAAAAGCAGGTGTCAAATAATGATCATTACTATTTATATTCTGTCACCTGCCCATACGGCTCAAAGCTTTCATATGGAATATAAAAGCAAGCAGCAACCGCCTTTAAAATGTTCTACGGTCCCGCGGAACCACGTGGAATGTTTCAGAAACTTAGCTTACTTTCTATTCACCGTCGCGTCTCCGGACTACCACGGGTTATTTTCTATCCGGCATCGGATGCGCAAAATGTTTACCCCACACCCAACCTTCGTTGCTCATTGCTGGTGTATTCAAGACACATATTTGTCATTTTACTTCAGGTACTCTAAGCCCCTTGACTTAACGATGGCCAGGTGGGTTTAATTACTCAATGAATGGAAAGTTTCAAACCCATCGGGTACACCCCATATCCGAGTGTGCTAAATCTTTGCAAGCTGTTTTGATAGACATATCGGCGGTTTAAAACGGTTTACAATTTGGTACCACTTAACTATGCAAAACTGTGTGCGTTTGATCTTTGCAATGGCGATGTACCTTCTTGGCACAAATGGCCTACTTTCTTATTTCTGTCACATTATTTCTGCTTACTATAAGGGATTATTAATCCCTACATCCGCTGCGCAGTAGACAGAAAACTTTATATTTTTAACACAGTGGTTATCCGGGTTTTCTTTCGTGGGTAGAGATAAGTTCCATAACCATCGCCATTAAAAAGCTAATTAAAACGAAGAATAGATGGGGGTACATGAGACTAGTTTAATTTATTACAGCAGCTTTATTCCTCTTTTACTAGTTCCACAATGAATACTCAAAATAACAACAAGATGGGTACAGTGCGAATTAACTGGCTATATGGCAGCTTCCGGCATATCTAAATTCCAGAACAAGCCCAAGGTCCAACTGGTGGTATTCGCTTAGGAAGATCACCACATGACAGGGTCTCAGAAAATGATGGATTCAGAATTTAGGTGGTGCTAAATTTGTGATAAACTGGTCGGGATGGTCATATACAATTGTGGTATCAAACGCCACTAATACATGTTTCAAGCGCTGAAAACGAGCAGACAGATTACGGTGAGTAAATTCTTCAATCCACTGGTACTAACGATAGAACTCCTGTTGAGAAACGAGTTTGTTAAATAGCTTTGCCAGTGAGGGCAACATATAGATATTGCTGAAGGAAAAGGCTGCGTGGCAAGCAAGATTTCAATTTGGGATCTGGCATGTACATCATTCTAAATGCTGCATCGCAATTAGGAGGTTGGAGAAAGGTTACAGATGGCACAAATAATCCCCTTCGTCAACCTAATCTGCACGGTTTCCAGAAACACATGATTCCCTCACAAGTAGGCTTGCATGGCGTAGGTTAAACCTATTCCATTGGGTTTTGCTTGGCTCGAAGAAACTTCCCTCTTCTCCAATAAAAGCTGAACTGCTTCGACCTCCTTTCAAAGGCAGTCTGCACTCTCACTGCTTTAAAGTACTAACCAAAACTAATACTATTTTAGGAAGCTGAAAATGCGATGTGAACATAATTTTCAATGCCGAAACCCCTGAAGGCTACCTACCAGAGACCCTGAAATTGTACAGGTGAACTCCTTGACATCATCCACAAAAGCGGCACTGACTAAGTGAACATAATTTTCAATGCCGAAACCCCTAAAGGCTACCTACCAGAGATCCTGAAATTGTACAGGTGAACTTCGTGACATTATCCACAAAAGCGGCACTGACTACAATTTATTATTTAATAACAAACTGAATTTTCAAACTTATGGGACATCAGTTTTTCTACTGCTATTACAATTCAGCTTCAGTTACCTAGGAAACTTGGCCTGCGCAAGAGACTGATTGTGGTTGACAACGAAAATGGTTTATTGTGGTTTGGGCGGCAACTAAGGTAAAAAGCATTTGGTATGCAGGCTTCAGCACGTACGTGACGTATATATCTTGCCATTGAACAAAGGCTGCATTACACGTCACTAAAGCAGGACCCAGAGAACTAGCAAATTCGAAACATACAAAATGTGATATGCTGCCGTTGACAGAGTTTCAGTCTTTCCTAAGCAGCGGCAAGTTTGTTACTATAAACGACGAGTGTGCATTTTAAAATTTACATAAAGATCAGCGGCTGGGATTGAAGAAACCATATGCCCCTGCATTTTGCGTTAGGAAAGGGAGAACTAAGCCAAAAATAGCAAGGCCAGGCCTACAAAGGTTAATATCAAAAGCAACAGGTGAATCTAAAATAAGTCTGTCCTTATGACCTTAACGAATGTTTCATGCTGGGTGAGCTTCTTGCTGGATCTTTTGTAGTCAGCCTTTATGCAATGAATGACACATATTGATAAGCAGAAGCAGAAGCTCCTATAAGTCCATTGATGCTTAGCCGCTCGTACGTACGTAGTTTCGTGGTATGTAGGTAGTTCTGAACTGAAAATATTTTATTCTACAGCTGAATAACTTTTAGAAGCGTCGTTTTTGAAGGCGTAATTTTGACTTTCTGCTCTCTGCTACTTTAAATTAAGCGAAGCGACCTTTTATTGATTTCAGAGATTTGAGGCTGAACAAAATTCATCTGTTTACTCAAATACTCAAGGTGCAGTTCGCACTGACAACCAAAAAAGATGGAACTCATTTTCTGTCAAATCTACTAAGTCCGCACCTTGTTCACCAATGTTTGATGTGAGGAATGTTACACTGGAAGACCAAAAACAAAGGTATTCCCGGAATTCCAGCTCCAAAAAACAAGAAGAATACTACTCACTGTGTTCAAATATGTCAGAAGTTGAGAAACGTCCTCTGGAAAGAATCCGCACGCTTGAGAGGGTAAATGATTTGAAAGGCATTGATACAAATCCACGAAGCCATGAGCCAGCATCCCCACCTTTGATGTATATAAGTGAATCCATCAGGCAAGCTGGACGTCCCTCTGATCAGTTATCAACCCTGGATGGGGTAAGTAGCCTTCAACAAATTCTATTTGCAGAGTCTCTTTTAGTCACAACACAGACACGTATAAACCTAATAATATCCTTGGAAGAAACTGGCGGTTTTGTTTGCAACTAACATGATAGAAGTGCCACATACAAATATTGCTTTAAGAAATTTTTGTTAAACTATCTCAGAATAATAATTGTTACGACAAATTTAGGTCCAGTTACCAAAACCCTGGTTTATAATATCTAAAGAGAGCTACCGTTTGTTGTACCAAGTAAGTTCTCAGAGTGTACTTTAAATCTAAATTAAACGAAAAGACAGTTTCCTCAACCCGACTCAGCAGAGCGTGTGTTGAAATCCGTGTTTGCATGTCCCGATTATCAGTTGCGGTTAGCTGCCTGTAGATTTCATTAAAAGTCTTAGACACCTCCAATCAAAATGCTTTAAAAAATCTTCCGTTTAAAGAATGTAGCGTGCAAAAGAATATTTTATTGTAGTAGTAATAAATGAGTAGTAACAAATGAGAACCAAACAGTTTGAAATTTTGTAAAGAGTAATGGAATTTAGGTACGAAAGGTTTTTATGCACGTTTGCATACTTGCTGAAAAAAACAGCATGCAGCAATCATTAACTCACTTCCACAGAGCAATTTTCCAAAAACCAGGAGGATTCGTAAATTCGAGCAATATATGGTTCTTAAAATGAAAGGATTTGCAAGAAACTATCGCCCTTACTTGTGCAGTCGTGCTTAACGGAATCGGTGAAATTTAGCATGTTCTAAACGATACAATGTTGGAAGTAAGGTTTTCTGGCAAATTATTTCCGCACGTCTGAAATAATGTTTTGTGGCTGAACACAAACGTTTCCTTAGCCATATTATCCCCATAACAACGTTATAAGGTTCATTTCCAAAGGTCTGAGTAGAAATTTATTGAAAAGTGCTTTAGCCAAAGCACTTTCTCAATTTTTGCTGAATATTTCTGTTTTTTTTTAGTTCAAGATAGTAAATCTAATTTTTAGTAGAAACGCCAGTGCAAGTTATTAGACTATCTAGAAATAATGGATCATGGCCACAAAATCAGCATAAACTTTATGTGCCCTATAGCCTCTAACATGGAGGAGTATGGGATCTACTAGTTTCACTAAACACATCAGTTTAGAAGCTTACGGGTACTGTCACTTGATAGATAGTTTCCAATGAGTATTTTCAGGCATTTCCTAAGCAACTATTCCTTGTTGTACTAACGTCTGTCTGACATCTGTTTGACGTTTATAATGTCAATGCGGAGTCGCTTATGTCACGCTCCGTCTCTATCTTTTGCTAGAAGTAATTCACTTACACATGGGCGCAACGTTACAGTATTTATCATCCCGCTTTGCCTAGGGCAAGTCTGAGTGACCGAAGAATACTAGTAGATTATGAGACATAAACGGCTGCAAGTCTAGCCAGGTGATGTTAAATTCGAGCGTATAAGTTTACAGCGTATTTAGGGTTGTAGGAAGGAATGGTAAAAAAGCAAGGAACGTTCACAAGCATCAAGTTATGTCTGGGTTGCCCAGCCAGAGACAGCTGCCTCAAACCGGCCTCCAAAAACGCAAACCAAACTAGGAATTAGTTCATTCATATAAAGATCGGGTTACAGAGTGTTGCGCTTGAGCAGGGAATACTGATCCCGTTTTAAGTGTTGAAATTCCGCATGAAAACATTTTATCTGAATGACGAACGTCCAGCAAAATTATCGCAGGAGTTAATTGGCCAATCCATCTGATCGTTAAAAAATGCCTCGGACAAAATTTAACTACCGCTGAAAATGCACTTAAGGAATTTGTCCTGAGTACAACTCCCTCTGTAGTAGCTTATGAAGTACAAGAGAAGAACAGCGAATCCCATTGGACAGCGCTCCAAATTACACAACTCTGTATGTGACTTTGAGTGCACGCACGATTCGTGCCTTGAGAGTGTGATATACCAGACCAATCGCCAGTTATGTGCACGACCAAGCACCACATTGTTCGCCTATCTGAACTAGATGAAAAATATTGAGATCATGCCGCTGGTGTACCCAAAGTAGGGGAATAGAAAATGGCAGTCCTTTAGAAATACATTTCCTTTATTGATACCTTTATTGGTACCTTACCTTTATTGAATTTTGATCATTCATACTTGTAATCCTGGTCGAGTTTTTGAAGTAGTATTTAACGATTCAAAGGACACTCACGTAGATACAATCTGTAGATAGGAGTTGAAACATTCCTGGTTGTTGCTACCAAGAGCTTTCAGGTGATGCTTCAACATTTTGTTATTACTGGCACTTGTGAACGAGATAGGCGATGGTCGAATGCAACCAACGAGAAGCAATTTCGTGAAAATCCCCGGCCAGGAGATTCTTTTTTATCAGACGCTCTCAAACATTACGACTTGGAGACAATGAATCAACGTCCTTTATTTTCTGGAATATTTTTTCGACTCTCCAGCACTCAGGATTTGGACAAAAGGTGATCTCTGAGGCAAGCATGTCAAGTTATATTTCGAACACTGGCAGGTCCAGGGCATGGTGATATTCGAGTTTCAAGCTGAGAAAGTATACCCCATTGGCGATGACGATCATGTGGTTGACATTTACTGAACGACTGGCTGAGATGCGCCGATTGTTTATGTCAAAAATCTATTGGTTGATCCATCCAGGTCCAGGGCGTGTGTTGTCATACAGAAGCTCAAAAGCAGCCCACACACGTCGTCAGTTCTTTCTGCTATTTACGTTTTAGAAATAACTTTGGCTAACGGTACATCTTTTGTGACCATTTCTGTCGTCCTTTGTTACAAGCCTTTTATGTGTTTCCACAGCTGCTTGAGAAGCAGTGAAAAAAGGTTTCCTAATTCTTATATAAACGGTCACTGCACAAATTAAACAAGAACGCAGGAACATGTGTCAAGTATTCACAGTCCACTGGAGAGATACACCTGCAACAATTCGATAACGGGAAGCAAAACTCTCAATGTGATAAAAGTTTGCATCAAATAAATCTTTCGAATTATCGCCTATGATACACTCCTCGAAAAAATCCAGTAATTGTCTTACAACACACAACTTAATGGGAGCCAGAAATCTAACGCCTAGATGAGTCAGGGTTACACACCTTTACTGCGCAAGAACAATTGTATCACTTACAAGCACAATAAATGAGGTCCAGAAGTTTATTGGGAAGTGCCAAGCAAAAGCGAACTATGATTTCCCTTGACGGAAAAGATAAAATATCGTATACGGCGCAACACTCAATAAATAGTAACCCAGAAATATAGAACTTAAGTGAGTGTATAATCGTACTAACATATGCAAGCCGATACGGATGACGGATTCACTGATAAGGTGTACTTAAATATTTGGCACTGTACCATAGAAAATCGGTCTCACGGCTCAGCACATGTTTGTGATGCGGTCTCCTCGACGGAGTTGTTTAACACAACTGTGCAAACCCGTGATAACCACACTCAGGTCTGAGAATATTTCCATCACATCCCTCTTGACCTATCCAGAGTCCTAAAACCGCTAGCATTCTATATTGCCCACCCTTGCGTGCTCGAATTTCCCCAAGGTAAATATTGGCAATGGAAGGAAGATGCTCACAACCCACAATGCCACAAATGTAATAAACATACTAGCCAGAAGTCTGTCTCCCTGCTCACCAGTCATAAATGTTGTGTCCCAGTTTCAAATCATTGATGGAAAATGCGGTATTCACGATTTTCTGCTGCCTAATTTTGTCGAGTAATTGGTCTGAAATTTCCAACTCCGTCCGCATTCGGTGTGCAAAACACGCAACCTTCCCCTCAAATTTATTCCAGTCATTTCGACAGTGAAAGTTATCAATACTGTTCACTACCATTCAACACCTGAAAGGATGCGGTCCATATGTCACAACATTTACTATTCCGGGGATCAAACAATTTTTAAACATGTTCTACCTCCATTTAATGTAAACTTTTTCTCATTTTTTCAGCTGTAGGATGCTTTTTTCTTACTTCATACATTTGCGAACCTGCTTCATTTCTAATACGTTTTATTCTACACTTCTTCAAGCTATATTACGATCAAACTTAGGAGATAAAATCGTTCTCACTAGAGAATTCAGATAACTCGTTTTATGATTAATCAAAGTGTTTACCTCCCTGGGTCATCCATGGACGTCTCCCCAACACAACTTTACCGTGACTTTCAGAAAATTTTGGATATCTTGAAAGCACTATAAAAACCCATTAGTGCCCCATCATTCATTCAGTCTTACGCACAGCGTTGAACCATTTTCCCGTCTAAGGATCGTCATCATCATCGCCAGCATGATATCACTGTTGACCACCGATGCTTCACTGTCGTTCTACTGTTCAATGACACAACATTTACTTAGAATAATGTCTTACTTCATCTCATACTTTCACAAAACAACATCACTCACCAACAGTTAACTGCTCAAGATGATTTTTTCCTGGGCCCAGCTTTCCATTGTGATTCTCCCATTGCTTTTCTGTAAGTGCAATTTGTATTTTTCGTCCTTCGCAAAGCAATAACAGGGTATTTACGGCACTTTGGGAGCACCTTTTCTCAAATCCATAAAGATCATCCGCTTCCGAATTCCAGTTTCATACAGAGTGTGAATCATTTACGCACTACCATTTACGTCTGAAGCAGAATATGTGTTGCCAACATTATTTACTTACCGTGGAGAGATCAGTGTCAGTTATGGCAATGATCTGTTTACTAGAACTCATTGGTGTGTCCATAAATCTATTACTGTTTCTACAACAAATGACTACTTTATCTGGCCTCTAGTGTCTCATTTCTCTAAATCTCATTTCGCACACTGATTAATTTGTTCACATCACATTTCAGTCCCGCCACCTACCAAACCCCTTTTCCACTAAACAATCAGACCACCAAATGCCGTGCCACCAGCCACCTCTCTCCATTCGTGAAACCTCAATTTCCCAAAAACTCGACAAACAAACTTGTATGCTGACCTTACCTTATTGTTCTCCGAATTTTCCATAGACTGTCTTGGACACAGTATGTTGCCTTCTCCAGTAATATGCGTTAATGTATACTTGAAAAGCTGCGTGAGATTAGCTTAGATAAGGTGGCTCAAAAATCTTTGTCATACGTAGTGTGCCTGTAGAACTGAGCTAACGGGATGAGTTCTATCTAGTGAACTAAATTTGTGGTGCATTAGCCAAAGCAAGATTTCACGGGAAAGAGCATCCGTCTTCCAGCATCCAATATCCACCGGTGTCCTGCTTGGTTCACTTAAATTTCCATAAGCGCAGTGTGCCTGTAGAACTGAGCTAACGGGATAAGTTCTGTCTAGTGAACTAAAGTTTGTGATGCATTAGCCGAAGCAAGATTTCACGGGAAAGAGCACCCGTCTTCCAGCATACAATATCCACTGGTGTCCTGCTTGGTTCACTTAAATTTCTTAAGCGTCTTCATCCTCATGTAGTTCATGCTCGCATGTTTCACTTGGGATAAAAAGATTCATTGACTATCAGCGTACTCCGTTAAGCTAATGGTCGTGTACCCGTTTCTCACCTGTTTGTCAGCATTGATGACACGATATTGTTTTTCGGTGTTACTTTGTGACACTCGAATTTTTGGAACTTTATACGATTATCCTCAAATTTCTTTCATCGGTGGATAGATCGCCTGAAATTCGGGTCCCTTCAATACCTAGAGCAACATTTTGTTGGACGTTAGATCATCACTGATTGTGCGCTAGCAAAATGTGCAGCGCAAAATTGTCCCTAAAAGTGATTACTACCTTCCAACTAACTGGGCGAGATTTCAAGTCTTGAATAGCTAGAATTCCAGAGAAAGCAAACAAAAATTGGTTCTATATTGTCAAGACCCTTATCAGGTATAATAGAATGCACAGGCCAAAGACGAATTCCAGCTGTCAAACTGAAGTTACTTAAATTCAGGACGTTGGGATGGTAACTGCAGATACTGTCGATTTACATGTGCCCACCGTATTTCGGGAGAAGCTTTGCGGTTTCAGGTGAGTTCTGCACATATACCAGAGAAAATTAGAAGAAGCCTGTCCATTTTTGGGCACCCATGATCCGGTGGGTGGACAAGATGTGATACAGTTCACCGTCTTCAAATCGGATGTAGTCGCCTGGAATGTATTCTCGGTAAGCAAACTACTGGCACGATTACATTGACTTAATTTGCATTCCATTAACTGAACACACATTTAAACCTTCAGCATTTTAAATGCATCGAGATATAACCAGCCTTAGTTAATGCCTCCAATCCTTTTTGCCGGGCGCAGTGACAGTTAGTTTGCTCAGTTCTGTTAAGAAAATGGAGCAGGCTAATTGGTCATCGAGGCAGTAAGTCCTTGTAATCCTAACCATGAGCGCACGTACTGAAATAGATCCGGTCCATCAAATCATCTGTGTGTTCAACTTCCCTCGCTTTCCCTTATTTTAGAGACCAGCTACTCAGCCAGCATTCGTTGTTCCGTCTCGGTTACCGCAATTAAGTCAGGGAGCTCATTTGCATTAGCTGAGTAGTACTATTTTTGGAGTTTTCCTGTTAGGCCTTGAATAAGCCAATCGTATTTATTCTAGACTTGCATCCGCAGAACAGCTGCGACATTTGAGGCAACAGGACACCATGGTATAATTTAAGCGGAAACTCCTCAAACACTAGCTAAGGTTAGGAAGATAAACCTTCCCTAATAGCTTGTAAAAGGGTCGACAAGTTGACGTAATATAGCTATTTTAATGAATATTTTTCGACGGTAAATAAAAATAAATAGTCTTGCCCCATAACGTCAGCCCTGCTACATAACTCTAGTTAATCGTTGTGCTCACTCCCAGCGCAAAACTCCTCTGATTTAATTATGCTCATATACCTTTGGGGGGCTCAGTTTTGACGAAGTTGAAAAGTTGTGATTGGCATAATTGACGTTCCTGTGGCAGATGCTCATTGTCTACCAGATCGAAACATTCGGCGTGTGCAACTTGTGCATTACTGACGTTTTGGAGAATGAAGTTACTCTGAATATAGAATGCATGAGAAGAAACTTGGCATAATCAACTAGGGCTAATAGGCGATTCTTTCCATGGGGCAAACACCCCAAGAATGTGGCGTATATTGTATGTGTCTAATCGTCAAACTGTGCTTCGAAAATAAAATTGATTTTATTTTTCAGAGAATCTCTACAGATGTAACACCAGAATCACTCCGGTAATATTTTGGTGAGAAGTAAACGGTATCTTTACACTTGTGTTTATGTACCACCTATGCGGTGCAGTGCACACTGCAGTGCCTTATCTACTGCGGTGGACGATGGAGTTTGAAATTTATACACCCGGTGCGTTTGTCTCATTCATACAGAAGTTTTGTTGGATGTCTGCAACTGAAAAATTCATCCTCATTTATCTTATCGGAGGAGCAGATTTTAAACCTACCGTCACTCTATCTTATAAATGGACGATGGATATATGGATGGATATATAATCGATGAAGATAGTGAGATATATTGATTCACATCAAAATGTCACTTTATTACAACCTCCTCTATTCGGTTTAGCCAGCCGGTGAGAGCAACACTTCTCTGCGTGTTGGTTCCCAAAAATCCAGAAATGAAACACCTCCTCCCAGTTATTTCGATTTGGCTAAATCCGAAACTACGAAAATCCCCTCAGATCAAACTAAACCGCCGAAAAAAATCCAGAACAATGCAAAACCGCCAAATGCACCACCAGGCATTAACAACTTGCCAGTTCACTGTGATTCTTGTTGGAGAAATCAATCAGCATTATTGCGACTAAGTGCCCATTTGCACCAGTCAGCCACAACCATACTGCGGAACGATCTGGGTACGGGCCAGACAATTCCCACAATGCTCCCACCAAATTTATACCATTCACCTGAAATACGCCAAGTTGTTCTGCACCGCAATGGAACATGCCAACGATTTGGAATGAAACTCGAAAGAACTGATAGCCCAGAACAGGTTAGTTACTATTTTTCTACCGTGCGCGTATGAAAGTAATCGCATAATTTTTTTCTTGTCGTAAGTCAAAATATCGTGATAATTCAATTTAGGTTCTTCAAAAAAAAA